CCGTATCTTCATCATCATCCTCATCAACATCATCATCATCACCATCATCATCATTAGAACAAACAACAACAACAACAACAACAACATTAAACAACATAGCAATATACCATCCGAAGCACCTTTAAACAACTAGCCTCTGTGCTCCCATTCGAAAACAACTAATTGTGCCCAGTGGGACAACAATCTCCGACAAATAGCGAAACAATATTTTTGCAACACAATAAAGTCATATAAGGGACGAAGATTAAAAGTGTTACAAGGGAGTAACAAACAAAAAAAAGAAGGAGAAGAGATCAGAACGATAGATGCTTGATAGGAAAGAAGGAACAAACCACACCAAAACACCCGCCAACCATCCGTTAAGATTATGTCGGCAAGATTAAAACAACACTGTTTAGAGCATTTCTACAGACTAAACATGGTATAATCTAAACACCTCATTTCCACGTCCAAATAAAAGAGATATCCCTGGAGTACAAATGAGTAGAAAAAGACAAATAAAAGAATGAAGAATTATAAAAAGAAAGAAGACTTGCTGAAAACTGTAAGAAAGACTGATTCAAGGGGCAGTGGTAAAACTAGTAGGGATAAAAGAATTTAAAAGGATAAAAAGAAGGAAGAAAGAGATGAAAGAAAGAAATGGATTAAACGAATAAAGAAGAAGAAAAAACACCCAAAAAAAACAAAAGAAGAATTCAATTTTTTTAAAGAACGAAGAATGGCTGAATAGAGGGAAAAATTGGTAAAAAGGGATAGGGGGTAGAAAAATTGTTGGAAGAATCAATAGCTCCCTTTTTCCTAACGACTTGTGCTGTCTCTAACTGGCAAATCAATGTAAACAACGTACAACAACACAACAACACAACAACAACTGCTGCAGCAACAAACAATGTAGTAAAACAACAGCAATAGCAGCTACATCTCCACCACCAACAACAACACAAAGAGTGTAGTAGTAGTAGTAGTAGTAGTAGTAGTAGTAGTAGTAGTAGTAGTAGTAGTAGTAGTAGT